GCTGGGGTAGGAGTGGATTCCCTTGAATGCCCTAACCTGCAGGTTTTGCAGTAGTTGCCTGGTGGGCTTGCTTTGGTGGTTGTCCACCCATTCCCCGGTAGGCTTAGTTTAAAGCCCGATTGAGCAGGTCAGCCATTCTGGGTGAAAAGAGCTTCCTCTGCAGTGAAGTGAGGTGGAGGCCGTCTCTTCCCAACAGACCACTGCCTGTCTTACCAAAGAGTGGACTGTGATCGTGGAAGCCAAAGCTTTAATGATGACACCAGCACTGCAGTCTTTGGTTGACTACCTCATTTCATCTCTCCCTCCTCAGCCCATGACCCATAACTAGGAAGATCGAGGAAAAGACCACCTGCACTCTCAACCCCCTAAGCCCCACTCTCAAAGCCCTGTAGTCACTTAAGACCTGGCTGGGATTGCTCCGAGCAGTGTCATTCGTGCCCACATGGATAGGGAGCATAGGGTAGTGGTCAGAGGGCTGGATAAGTTCTGGGATCCTCTCCAGTATGTCCTGGATACAGGCTTCCGGGCTAAGGGGTTGGGGTGGCAGATTGCTCCCTCAGGAGGGAGTCTTCCACAACGAGCACTCTGCGTTTCATCTTAGGGAGAGTAGGGATTGTAGTTGTTAGTTTTCCTCCCTTGCCTGCAGGAGCTGGCAGCTCTGCAGGGTCTACCGGGGCTGCAAGAGGTTCATACCTGTTGCAGAGCTCCAGAGGGGAGCAGCAGGCCTTGGGGCCTTTGACTACATTGGTCCAAGCCACTGGCTGGACAGGGTGGGAGATCCTCAAGTCCTCCCTTGTCTTGGAAGGTGACTGTCCCAGGGGGGTGGAAACAGGGGCATGAGAGACCCCTCCCGCGACAGGACCTGGGATGGAGACAGCCTGTCCCTGCAAGACAAGCCCTGAAGCCAGGGTGAACTTACCTGTTTTAGGCCGGGAAGAGATGGACGAGCTGCTCGGGCGCAGAGCACCCGTGCAGTTTGTGAGCCACGTTTATTTCCAGTTAAAAGCAGCGTGAGTGGATGACGTCATGTCAGGACACGGCCCGGCCGAAATAAAAGCCGGTGGCAAGAAGACCATGGTGGAAGCAATGCAGGGAGCAGTTGGCAAAAGTGCATCCCACCCTGGGCACAGGCGGCGCCGGCGACCATCAAGGGACCCTGGGATGGACCCATTGGAGGGGTCTGCAGTGAGGGGAAGGAGTGAGGATGGTGCTGAGGGACTGAAGGAGCCACAGATGCCAGGCCAGTGAGTGGGGACAGGCCAAGGCCCTACTCCTTTGTCCTTTCTGTTAATTTCTTCCTTTTCTTTTACTTTTGGGGATTGCCCAGAGGGACCCCGAGATGAGGGTCAGAGCTACGGGCAGCGCTCTGGGGTTAGGAACGGCCAGGATAGCATGGCAGACAGCCAAGCTATAGTGAAAGACCCTGCAGTAGAGCAGGGATGGCTTAACGTCCCCAAAACACATAGGGCTGGGAGAGGTCATCTGTAGTCCAGCTGACGAGACGAGAACGGGAGTTGACATCAGAAGGCGAGCCATCTGACCATCAAGTGGCTGTCCTAGAGGCTGGGGTGTAGGGGAGGTGGAGCCTCATGAATACCCACTAGGAAGTGTGACTGATCCAAGAGGGACCACAGGAAGGGACCCCACCACTGAAAGAAAGATGTATGTTGTGGCAGGCGAGTTTCTAGGCTTCCCTCAGGGAGATTATGGGCCCTCTCTGAGACCACTGGAACAAATGCAGCGGCTAAGCCCAGGAGCAGGCTCCAAAGTGGCATGAGAGCACCTTCTCGAGACCAGGCGGGCACAGTGACCTTGGTTTACCTTCAGCCTCGATGGGATGAAGGTCCTGGCAGTAGGAGTTGATCCCTGATGGTACGCAGTCCCTGAGCTGCGGTCTGGAGCTCCACTATCTGACACCTCAGAGACTCCAAAGTGTAGCAAACCTCACAAGGGGAGGTGGCCATACTCCCAGTCTCATGTGCCTGGAATTGTGCCAGGCAGCCCCCACAGCCGAGAGCTAGAGGCTCTGTCTGTGTGGAGCCTGGAACCATAGGTTTGGCCTGGGTGGAGACCTCAGAAGTACCAGAGGGGGAGGTCTCATACTCCGAGGGGATCCTTGGGGTGTGGTGTGTACCCATCTGCATTGCACCGGTGGTAGTTCGGCTACTGCTGTGACAAGCTTCCTTTGGGGCTCACTGGCAGAGCCTTGTGCCCTCCTGCGTGAACTCCTGCATTAACTCGTGCATCGAGCCTACAAGCATGCCTCTTTGTGAAGCTTCGGTCACATGGCTCCCTGGGAGGCTGGGTCAAGCAGGAGCTGGGCGGGGGGAGGGGAGTGTGACCCCTCTCGGCTCCTCTCAACTGCCTCCCCGCAGCTGGGCTAAGTCCCACCCACCACGGGTGCCTGCTTACCTTCAGGTAGTCTGGGTGTCCTACTGGGGAGTTCCAGGGCTCATGGAGCTGCAATGGGCTTCCACTCGCGTGTCTCTCACTGGAGCCAGGGGCCAAGTGCAGGTTTTGCCATTGGTGGGCCCTTTTAAAACTGCATATCTGCAGAAGGGTCTGCCGGCACCATGCCGCTCTTGGGGGGGCTGAGGGGTCCCTCCCCCACTGAAGAAGGGGACAGGTGAGTTACCCCCCTTCCCTGACTCGCATGCCAGGCGGCTCCGGTCGTGTGGCTCCCTGGTGGGCTGGGCCAAGGTGTGTGTGTGTGTTTGGGGGAGGCGTGACCCTCCTTGGCTCTTCTCAGCTGCCCCCCTGCAGTTGGGCTAAGTCCCACCTACCACAGGCCCCTGCTTACCTACGGGTAGGTTGGGGCTTGTCAGAGGTCCTGAGGGTTGTGTTGAGGGGTCCTGGGGCTCATGGGGGCACAACGGGCTTCTGCCCATGTGTGTCTCACCAGAGCTGGGGGCCAAGTGCGGCTTCTCCCATTGACAGGCCCTTTATAAACTGCGCACATGTGCAGATGGGCTTGGGCAGGAACTGTGGTCCACCCTGTCAAATGCTTTCTCCTGTTTGAAGGTTAGGAGGGAGAATGACATATCCTCCCTGCAGGTGAGGTTGTGGAACTCCCAGATGAGATATAATTTATTGAAAATGGTGTGCTCTAGAACTGTGTATGTTTGGTCAGTGGATCATGTCTTTCAGCATGGGCTTCAGCATCAACGAGGTGACTTTAGCTATGACCTTGTAGTCTGTGCAGAGGAGCAAGACTGGGCATCAGTTCATCAAGTTCCTGGGCTCCCTTCTTTTGGGCAGCAGGGTCAGCATGACCTTTCTGCCCTACAGGTGGAACTCCCCTTTCCCTTTGTACTCAACCTGGACCATGGTGAGGTCTGAGCTGAGGACATTCTAGAAAACACAGTAAAATTCTGCTGTCATCCTGTCGATGTCTGGAGCTTTGTTGGTGGATGGGCTTCTGCAACTTGGCAAGAATAAGATGATCCTTCATCTGGTTCTGGTTGCCCGTGCTGACTTGTGGCAGGACCTTATGGGTTTTGGCATTGATCAGATCAGGTGAGAAGAGAACTTCATAGAAGTTCCCTTCATAGAAGGGACCCTTTCTCATAGGTTGCTGGGATCAGTGAGGAGGGTGCCATCCTCTGCCAGGAAGCAAGTGATGTACTTGGCACCTCTCTTCTCTAGGACATAAAATAAATGAGTCAATCTGACTCTTAGAGGAGCTGCATCCGCAACCAGACAAACCACAGGCACAGTGATTGTCTAGAGCTCAGAGCTCTCTTTTCCACCTCTTTTGACACTCTCTGGAAGTGGATGGCTTTTCTGGGTTAGTGGCAAGGTGCCTCTCCATCTCCAGGAAATCCCTCTGGAGTTGCAAGGTCCTTCAAGTTTGTGGGGGGGAAGCAGTGGGGGAGGGAGGTAGGGAGGAGGAGCTGTGGGCTGGGATTGGGGTTGTAGGAGTGCTGGTATTGATGGCACCTCTTCCTGCAGAGGTGGTTCACTGTTCCTCCTGCTGGCTCATAGGGCACTCCTGGTGGAGATGCCCCAGTGCCTGGCATTGGAAGCAACTGTTTTTCTCATTGAGTAATGCATTTTCTACAGGGTTCTTTGGTGGTTGCAGTATAAAAGAAACTAATCCTCTAGTTATGCAGTCCAAAGAAATTTCTTTGAGGAAACATAACATTTACAGAGGTCTCCTCTACATGTTATCTATATTATGCAATTACCTGGTTAATTGCACAGTATATTTAGATTGACTACATGTGCAAATTAACTATGATGCCTTAAAAAGGTCAACCCAGCTATAAAGTTATTGCTCGAAAATGTGTATTAACTTGTTTTTTATCTAGCTTTCATTTGTATGTGTAGGCAGTCCCTCTACTTGTGTAGGCAGGTAGATAACAGCTGTTGATGCCTCCTAGCCGCTGTGATGCACAATACACCTTTCCAGGGCTGGGAGATCACAGTGGCCGAGAGATCACGGCAGTCCCTTGTGGCTGCCGGAGCTGAGAGTCCCGTAGCTTATGGGACTCTCAGCCCTGGCTGCATGTGGGGTGCAGCGAGGGCCAAGAGTCCTACAGCTGCGGGGACTTCTGGCCCTAGCTGCATGAGGGCAGTTGTGGATGCTGGGTCCTGGCAGTGCCCCATAGCCTCTCAGCTGCAGGGGTGCATGGGGCACCCCCATGACTTGGAGCCTTACCAGCAGAGGAGACTCCCAGTCATGCAAGCCTGCTTCTTGCCAGGGCAGGGACAGCCCAGGATCAGGCTCCTCGTGCACTGGCATGGTGGGACCTAATACACAATCCCAAATCAGCATATGTGGCATAGCAGGAGGTGTGATTGTGTGGATCGCGCATTAGATCCTATTGTGCCTTTACCTGCATGTGTACAGGGGGCCTTAGAAATGTGAAGCCAATTTATGGAAATTAATCAATTACATTAAGTGATGGTGCGGTACTGGCTTTCTTTTGTTCAGCCAGACTCTTGCTGAGAGTTAGATAATTTTTGCTTGCTCTTCTACTTCTGGACTTTTCTTGCAGGTTTTCCAGCTTGCTGCACATCTTGTTTACTGGGGAAAAGCAATTATCATCTATCCACTGTGTGAAAACAATGTCTATATGCTGTCCCCCAATGCCAGTGTTTGTCTGTAAGTAGAGACTACGACTTCCTATGCTGAGCTTGCTTTATAAAATGAAAATATGATCTCCATTTGTGAATTTGTTGAGATTGTATAGTATGCAGATTGCACCTGTTGCCTAAATGCCAGCAGCTCTGAAGAGCTGCTCAGGATATAGAGAAAGAGTAGAGGCGTTGATCAGCCTGTTCTTGGTTTACATTTGCATACTTATAAAATCCCCCCATGGATAACCAGTTTTAAGAACTCAGAACAGTGTAGTTACCTTTAAATTGTTTTATAGGCAGGCACATTTTTTAAATGTAGTGTACTTGGTTGGTTAATGAGTGTCTGTCCAAGAAAGAACTGCGTGAAATCAAAACAGTATTGGAACAGTGAAAAAAAGCCAGCAGACATGTTGCTAAGTTCTGTATGGTAGTGGCTACCTGATTTTGATAGGCTCCCTGGGGGAGACTCGAAGTGAGGTTTTGGGCCTGGCACAGTGATTTGGGTGGCTCTGCATAGTAGCACCCCCTACTATACCACATCTCTCATTTCAGAGCCCAAGCTAAAAACCTTAACTCATATGTGGTAATATTAACTCAGGTATAGCAATGATTGACAGTGAGGCACTGTCAAAGCACTTAAGGCTAGATGGGCATTTAACTATAATGATTGCATGACTAATGACACAATAGCTTTCATGTGTTGTGTTATATGTGAAGATGTGCCACTCCTTTTCTAAATCCTAGAGCTGCCCACATATGAGATGCTTTGGTCTTCTGTATGTAGAGATTGTGAAATGAAATATTGCTTTGTTTTTTGTTTAAATCTGTAAATATAGATCATAGGAAAATAAAGTGGTGGTCAAAACTCCTTTGATTAAAATAAAAAGAAGTTTTCTGTGGCAGAACAAAATACCAACATTAATGTGTTTATTTTTCCTATTATTTCGTCAGAATACTAGATGCCATAAACCAGGGGTTGTCAACCAGGGGTACACGTACCACCCCGTGCTGACGTCGCTTTGTGTCCAGCCTTGTGTTGCCCCCCTTTCCCCCGTGTCCAGCTGCTGAGGGTACACTTATTAAAAAAGGTTGACAACCCCTGCTATAAACTATAATGGAGTGCTTTACTGTTTACAAGGAACATAAATATTTTTAATGTTGAAATTAGCGCTTCTTCTGTAATGAGTCAGTTCTTGCAAATTTATGCCAATTTTATTTATCAGCAGCACATAAACTATTTTTTCTCATGCATCTTTTCCAGATATTCTCCTTTAGCAGATAGATTTTCCTGTCAGTTTCCTGGCCATGACTTGCCATCTGTGCTTTCCAAGTTCTCACTCCCAGTTTCATTATCAGAATTCAAGAATCCACTGGCTCCACCCATTCAGGAGGTAAGTTAGAGGAGGGCATGTGATAGCTGTGTTGGGACACCTCACGATTGCCAGCTACAGGGAGCAGCAATAGAGGTTACCTTTAGAATATCCTGTCAGGAACTTCAGAATTGTTATATAGCTACTGTGCAAAAAAAATCTGTTTCCTATGTAGAAGTTGTCTTCGTCCCTACTTATCTATGATACATACATGGAATTTAGCTTTCTGAAAAACAAAAAGATTGAGATCTATTATTACATATTCCAGCTGATTTAGATTTTCAGTCTGGAATTAAAAGCAGACTGTTTGCTTAGCCTTCTATATGATCCTGAACGAATTTACTAATGTTAAACATACGTTTCTTTTGACTCTGTGCTGAGTATAGTATAATGTTTTCATGCCCAAAAATTTCAGATTTAGTTTTACTGCTTGCATGAGCAATAACAATTGAGGTTTGAGCAATATTCTGAGGATTATTAAAAGGCTGGGAGCACCCAGACAGCAAAATCTATGGCAGTAATCAAGGCTAAGTAGTTGTTATTGCTGTAAATTGTACATGTAGAAAAACATCATTAAATGTTTTTTTGTCTGTCCATTAATCCCCCCATCTCCATGAACATGCTGTATGTTTGACATTTGGTGACTGTCCATATTTCTAAAGAATAATCCAGTAGTGTAGCCAGTCATATTACAAAAGGAGAGTTTGTTACAATTATAAGTTTATGTGAGGTGGTGCTCAAGGTGTACTAGCACTAAGTCTAGTCAGTTCTCTTGTCTGAATTAATGGAAAACCCCACCTACTTGAGAGAGAGGCAGAAAGGAATTGTACTTATGACATTTCTTACCAATTATAGTTGTTGACCCGTCTGCATCCTAAAAAATTATTAGCTTTTTCAGTTTTATTCTTGCTACTGTAACTTCAGAAGCTATTGTTATTCTTAGTGTTACTTTTTGTTTGCATGTCTCAGTCCTATCTCAGTTTTGCAAGATGTAGAGCACATTTCATAGATTCATAGATTCATAGATTAAGGGTCGGAAGGGACCTAGTAGATCTTCTAGCCCGACCCCCCGCCAGGGTGGGAGAACAACAAAAAAACCCCAAAAAGAGAAACGGGACTCAAATGAGTCCAGCCAGGTAGGCATCCAGCCTCTTCTTAAAGACCCCCAGGGTAGGGGCCAGCACCACTTCCCTTGGAAGTTGGTTCCAGCTCCTAGCCGCCCTAACTGTGAAGTAGTTCTTGCGGATGTCCAATCTATACCTCC